AAAAAGAGTCATCTAAATTGTTGTCTAATAAAGACATTCCAACTTGGTAGTTTAAATTTTAAATTTTCACTTCCTTCAGGTATTAGAGAATCAGAATAATCAATCATTCTATTATCAAGTAGTCTTATTGTAATAGGTGAATCTATTCCTAGATTGTAAGTTGATTTAAGAATCATTTGTATAGTAGAAACATGTAAGTAAGAAATTTTATTACTAGTTTTTGCTTTTATACCTTTCAATGTAGAAAATATTTGTTTTTTACAAATAACGGGAATAACAAAATTTCCTTCTGTTTGATCTATTTCTATTGTTTCTTCTCCATAAATAATTCCAAAGAATATTTTATTTTTTCAAGAAAATAAGTTATTTAATTTCTTTATCAATCTTCCATTTCTAAAGTTATTACTTATCTTTAAATCATGATTTATTAATCCTAGTTTATTTGTATCTGTCAACACTTCATTTAAGTAGCCTGATTTTTCGTGTTTTGTGAATTAAACTAAAAGATTATTTTCTTTATCCATAACACAAATATTCACTTTTATTATACTTCATTTTTAATATTAACAAGCAAGCTATATAAGTTTTTCTTATCGCTTTCAAATTATGTATCTATATTTTTATTGTAGGTACTAAATATGATATTTTAAGTTTTGATAAATGGTAAATCAGGTTACTTACATCGAGCAAGACTGCCACCTGCAATCAATATAACTAGTATTCGATACTGTGCATTTGCACAAATATAAATAAAATTAAATATTATAAGTTATATTTATGTATATAATATAAAAATTATAAGTTATATAATTGTATTATATTTCAACATATAGTATTATAAGTTATATTTATGTATATAATATTAAAATTATAAATTATATAATAGGATTATATTTTAAAATTTGATCATTGGTTAAAATAAATAGTACACACGATTTGATTGTATACGAATCACTATATTGATTGCATAAAATGTAATAAATATATACTTTTTATAATTTTGAGTGATCATGACCAATTAATTAGCTGAAAAATATTACATTTATTATAACAATTGCTTATGTGATTTTAAGAAATTTTACTATGACATAAGAAAATTAATTTATTAATAAACAACATCTTCATCATATAAAAAAATATTGATTTTAGTGTAAAATATAATTTTATGTAACTTTCATATATTATTTAGTATAAAATATAATTACTAATTTTAATATTAACTATTATATTATTCGATAAAAAATATAATTATTAATCAATTAACATAATTTATAATGGTTTTTGTCTTAATTAATCCAAAAAAATGTAATGAAATATTTTCTTATTAATGAGA